GTGAAAGTTGGAATGGAATTTACAATTTTCGTTGATTTTGATCCCAAAAGTTCCAATTTGGGAATAACTTTTCTCATTCCAATTTTCAAAATTTCGATTTCAGATACTTTCCGAGTGTTTTGGATTGAAATTAGAATATAACAAATACTTGAATTTTTTTATTTCCAATCCGGTTTAATTTCAGAAAAGGATTGAAATTAGAATATAACAAATACTTAAAATTTTTTATTTCCAATCCGGTTTAATTTCAGAAAATCCGATTTTTTCCCAAAGAAATACACCAATGAATATTTATATACTTTTACCTTATGGGCCATGTTGGGGAGCTAAAGTATTTCATTTGCCATTTTTCATGTAAAAAAAATACCTAGTTTAGACTTTTATCATTTCGAGTGTTTAAAATTTTACATTATTTGAAAATAGGTGCGTACAATCAAAAGAAAATAGGTATCTAGTGCAATTGAAATCGTTATAGGTATTTAAAAAAATAGAATTAATCATATGAGTAGTTGTAGATTAACGATTTTATGAACGTGATATTCTTAATCTTTAGAATATATGAAAGTTTACGACTTTTTGAACAAGTTAAAACTCATGTGATTTCCAAAAATTCTGAAATTCCGAAATTTCCATATATGACTTTTGGAATTTGAATGAATTTCTAGATTTCGATATTTTTAGAATTGTAATTGGAATCCGTTTTGTACTTCTGAAAAAGCAAAATGATTTTTTTCTAAAAATATTAATTTTGATCCGATTCATCCGACTTTTATCAGTTCCGATATATGCAAGTCCTAAGAGAAATGGCCCCTTAATAAAGAAACAATTAGGTTAGATCGGACCCATTCCTCGGTGGACCTCACTTGATGACAAGAGTTGATCATATCACTAAATAAACCATTAAGCACATGTTTGATTGGCTATTATAAAATTGGTTACTTCTAGAAAAGCAAAATAGAAATAATACACAACATGACAATTATTAATTAGTAACTAACACTATGCATGCATGCGTGGTCCCCCCGAAAGAGAGATGAGTCTGTGTCAATTAATTTCATGTTCGAATTCTCTTGTTAACGGTTGCTAGATTGAGCTTGTCACACATGGTTAGCCTAATGTAGTTTAAATATCTCGTATGATTTTGTAAGTTATTATATGAGAGTGTAGGTAAGTAGGCTAACTGCGGATTTTTTCATTATTACCAGGGGAAAAAAAACACTATGCATGTGTGATTATAATTAGTAGTGTAGTTAGTATATAGTTCAGTCAGTCAAATCATTATTAAAGAAAAAATATTCCCTATATATTTATGTTTATATGTTTTGATGTGTTTCTTTTATGTAATGTTGTTCTAGCTTGAATGGTAAAGTATGCTTGAATAGTAAAGTATGCAGTTAACTCTTTGGAAGGTATAGAACTTAAAACCCAACTAGTGCATTGCATATTTCTTTTTTTCTTTTTGAATATTTATGACTTTTTAAAATATTTATAGCACTATATTTTAAATATTTCTTTAAATTCTTAATTTTTATATATAATATGGTACTGCTATTTAAATACACATTTAAATTCTTTTATATATATATATATATATATATATATATATATATATATATATATATATATCATAAAATTTCATGTGATAGTTTACAAGATTGGCTACACATTTTGCTACTAGAAACTATAATTAATTTACAGTTTTATGAACATTTTCACCAAGTTTATGTCTAAATATTTCCTAAATTATCACAAAATTTGTAAATGATCTTTTTTATATTTGAAGTATTTACATATTTCTATTATTTAATGTGTATACTATTTATAAAAAAATAAAAATTCACGAGTGCTACCCCGCGAACCCTCGTAAACTTTTAGTCCAATCTCAAACACTCTTGGTAAAAAATCTGAATTCGCCACTGGCTACCATACTCCCACAATACTTCTAAAAAACCTAATAATTTATATAGAATTTTATTATGTTTCAAATAATATAGTATAGGGCGATTGGCAAAAATGGCCATCATATGGGACTTAAATGCATTTTGGTCCACAAAAAAAACAGTCTCTCAATTAAATCCATCCCCATGTCTTTAGTCTAAAAATACCCTCCATAATATAATTCTTATCAATTCCACCCATTATGCTCTAAATTTTTTAATATTACACATTGACCCCGGATTTAAACAAATATATCACATTAACCCCAATTTTTTTTTTCAAAAAATAATTTTTTTTTCTGAAATGTTTTTTTTTCCGACCAGATTCCAGCGTTGACTTTTTTTTTTTTTGAATACTTTTTTTTTTCCTGAAACTTTTTTTCCGGCCGGTGAACCACCGTTGACTTTTTTTTTTCTTTGAATTTTGTTTTTCTTAGACAAAAAAATATTTTAATTAATATTACTATCTTGACTACTAAACTACTGTCTCAGACACTAATATTAACGTTGGGGACAATAATATTATGAATATTATTTTCCCGAACAGTAATATTATTAATATTATTGTCTAAGATAGTTAAATACTGTTGGAGACAGTCGTTTAGCAGTCAAGACAGTAATATTAATTAAAATAATTTTTTTTAAGAAAAAAAAAAGTCAATTAACAGTTAAATTGCTGTCTCCGAGAGTTACATAACTGCTGGGGACAGTAATTTAGTAGCAAAGACAATAATATTAATTAAAATATTTTTGAAGGAAAAAAAAAAAAAAAGTCAATTTACAGTTAAATTACTGTCTCCGACAGTTAAATAACTGTCGGATACAGTTTTTTAGCAGCCATGACAGTAATATTAATTAAAATATTTTTTTTGAGAAAAAACAAAAAAAAAAAATGTGTCAACGCCGGAGACCGCGGTCAACGGCAGTTGACCGGCAGGAAAAAAATTCTGGGGAAAAAAAATCAACGCCGGCGGTCTCCGGCGGTCAATGCCGGTCAACGGCGGCGACCGGCGGTCTCCGGTGGTGGTGGGTCAAAATTGAAATTAGGGTTAAAATTGGTTAATATGAAATTGGGCTAAATTTGGGTGTAAATCATAAAATTGGAGTTGAATTGAGTTTCATTGAATTGGGGGTAATTTTGGTATATATAAATGGATTTTCCTTATTTGCAAATAAGTTTGAATGGGGTGGATTTATTTGAAAGATAAAAAAGTTGGATGTCCCTCTTTTAATTAAGTACATTTGTCATGGGCCTATTTGCCATTTACCCTATATTATAATGATTTCTTTTTGGTCTTGAGGTCCTGAATATGAAATTATGATTCTTATGCCTCGTTTGTTTGCCAAAATAAAATTAGTCAAGATAAGATTAAATAGTCTAACAAAAAATTGTATTATCGAACCTTGGATGATCCAATAAGAAATATGCCTAGAAGACACGATAAACCATAATAACATAATATTTGCGGATCGACCCGACAAGTTATTGGGGATACAAATATAGATTTAGTTAATCATGATTAATCTTCCGAACTAAACTAGACCTAAATATAGATTTAGACTGGGTAACCGCTAATATATCATTCTTAGCTTTAATTAGTACAGGTTGATGGTGTCTGATCAGCTTTAAAAGAAAAGGGAAAGAAAAACACAATAGTGCCTAATCAATTCAAATAAAGCGTGACAGTATTAAGCAAATGGATGCATGATTGCAATTTGGAATTAATATTTATTAACTGCACAATATATATACTATACTCCTACTAACTATATATCTAGGGTAGTTAATTCGGTAAAATTGTGCCAAACTATACCGAAATTTTCAGTAGATAAAAAATTAGTATGTCAAATAATTTTCATGTTGTTAGCGATCTGAAATATACGGTTCGATTTGGTAACTAAAGAATTATCGAAATTTTTATTAAACATATTTAAAAAATTAATTTAAGTTCAACTTTTTATTACTTTAAAGAATTTAAAGTATAAATATTGATATTAGATATAAATTATGTATAAAATAATAAATAAAAATAGAGTATTTGGTAATCCCGAATTACCAAAATTTTGGAAATAAAACCCGAACAAGGAATCGAATACTTACCAATCAGTATTCGGTACACATCAATTTTTTTTATTAAGCACGGCTCAACTGATTTACCGAATCGATATATGAATACTCCTAATTATATATATTAATTCTGAATACAAAATAGCATCTAACCACAAATGAGTTAACGAATAGATATGTTGAAACCAACTCCAAATTGTCATGGAATATTTCATTCAATATTAATATTTTATTAGGCTAATAGTTGTTATTTAAAAAAAAATGAAATTATTTTTTTGAAAAAATGAGTTAATAGTTGTTATTATTAGGATACATTTTTATTTGTACAAATTGTATATCGTTTTCTTGTTGGTATAACTTTTTGTCGCGCCACATTGACTATTAGAAATGAATTAGTAACTCATGAAGTTGGTAAACTACATGACAATAAAGCTAATACTTATTAATTAAACATATTCTATATTTCGCTGAATTAGTAAAATTTTACAGCGCTCAAATATATTAATTTATAAAGATTTAAACGTAAAACATTGGTAAAGCAACTTGATTTTTAATCGGCATGAACCTTGAATTTTGGTATGTTTCATATTATTTTGAATTTGTCATATGTGATTTGTTTGGGCTGGACATATTAAACATTAATATATGGTGTGTTTCTGGAAATTTAATATCGGGTGTTAGACGCAGATCCGTTCCAATCAATATGTGAATTTATATATATAATGAAGGAATCGCAATTAACTATATAGGTGCACGTGATAAATCTACATTCTCGTATAATAGCTTGCAAACCATACGAGAGGCGTAAAATCACACTAGACTAACAATGTGTGACAAACTCGACCTAGTGACTATTGTCAAAGGATTTCGAACCTGAATCAACTGACACATTCTTACTTGTTCCAACCGCTAGATCATCTGTTGCGGTACTATGTATTAAGATCTTATATCTATGGATAATGGATCTATCTAAAGTTTAGCTTAGCATAATAGAGTTTTAAAATTAAGAACCATATTATTGCAAATTCTCTTGAATCTAGTAAGATAAACAAATAGACAATAATAGCCTTTTACCATCTCTGCCTCCAATTACAACAAGAATACTACCATAACATAACATTTTTTTCAAGTCACAGCAATTTAACCCAACACTAATTACTAAAAAAAAATAACAATTTGAAAAGCTAACCCGAAAAATAGGTGACGTTAAGAACACGAACATCAACGTAAAACACAAAACAGATAACTAACTAATTGAAAGAAATTAGTTTTACGAAAATTGAAATAATTGTCCAAGACTTGACTTCAAGGTCGTGTAGACAGCATGCCATCCAGCCTCGGTTGGATGTGACGAGTCCCAAAAGAATGCAGATTTCGGATCGCTACAAACTGTGTACATTTTTACACCTTTTTCGTCGACACTTCCGCAGAAGTATTCGCTGCTTATCCCCATGCAACATGGCTTCAATGGAGTCTCGAACTTCAAGTCCCCTGTTTTATAAGATCAAAACACTTTCGACTAAGTAAGAAATTGGAGTTTTCTTTTCAATAATCGAATAGAAAAAAAAAAACTCGGGAAAAATATTACCTTGAGGATTGCCTTTTTGTTCGAGCACGGTATTGAAAGAGTTGTAGAGATCAAGAATGAAAAAAGTGGAGCTATTCGTATCGTTGTTCAATTTTGCGACCGTTTGCTGCAAGAGAAGGTTGTGAAAATTGGTAGCTAAGTTCCGAGTGGCGTTGCATTGCTGGTATGAAGATAACCCCGTGAATCGAGGGAGGCACCCTAACGGCTCCAAAGCTGTCACGATTACTTTCGTTGCTCCCATTTTTTGAAGTCGTTTTAGGTTTATCGACAGTTGATTGATCACGAGAGGGATGAAACTTGGCAGACCCTGAATTACACAACGGATTTTTCAGCAATTTTTTTTTTGTTAGTATAATCGATTTAATTTAGTAAGTTAATGAAAATCAGAAGTCATCAATTAAGAAAGGCAGAAATTTTTGCTAAAAGCTCTTCAATATTTTTTGCTAAAAGTTCTTCTGCAAAATGTACAAATGGCGGGGCGAGTATGCAAATTAGTTAAGCTCTCTCGAGAAATTACTCATGTAGCAAGTTCTCGATAAAAGCACGAACCAGAACCCATAAATCTTGTGGATATATGTAGGGAACAATAATACCCTTATTAACTAGGATTTGTATATGGAAAAAACACTATGTAAGTTTGATACTTGAAAATTCAATAATTTCTGAAAATAGTACGTGGCCCTGCATCATGGATATATATATATATGTGTGTGTGTGTGTGTGTGTGTGTGTGTGTGTGAGAGAAACTAGGAAAATAACAATTATGTTGATATCATTTAATTTTGTTTTCATCATTAAATTGACAAAGAAAGTGTCAATTACTGCTGCTCTGTCCCATTGATATCCACCAGCCTAGTGCAGCCAAATTTATGAAGCAAAAAAACACAAAAAAAAAAAAAAAAAAAAAAAAGGAAAAGAAAATCTTCCCTTAGCTTGTAACAAAAATATATCCCTATATAGTAGTTTCATCGTACGAAAAATGAACGGTGATATAATCGCAAGAAACATAAATATGATATGCTCGTGAATCGTATATAATTATATAAATCATGTTGAAGAAATAAGTAGCAGAGCCAGTGGTTATATAAGTTGAGTATAATTAATTAAGGTACCTGGATTGTGCCACCGGTGGCTAGATACGCACCGTAATCATTCCCGGCAAGAGAAAGAAGAACGACGGAAGAATGCAAATCCAATGTGGTGTAAACAGATTCATTGATCAGCTTCTCGAGGAAGTCGATTTGAGTGGTCATGTTCGGCAAAACGTTGGCCAAAGTGTCGAAAACTCCGCTCCCTCCGTAGGCGAAGTTCACCCCGTTTCGCAGCTTTTTCCCGCCAAATAATTTCATCCATCGGTAGGCTACTGGTGACTTGAGTCCCAAGAACTTGGCTGTTGTTATTAATTACATGTCAATTATTACTACAATATTTATACAATCATCAAAAGTTGGAGCGACAATTCAATTTTTACAAGGGACCTTTTCGAAAAGGAAAAAAAAAATGAAAATGACAAGTGGCAATTGGAGTTCATTATGAAATTGGAAAAAAATTCAATTTTAGCAAGCATCGTGATGATAGAGACAACACCGTTTGACGACCACTCGTTTTGTGAAATTGCATCAACTATATATATGTGGACGTGCGATATTTTGAATTGTTTCGTCTTTTCCACGATATTTTTGTATCGCCTTTAATTTTATCGGTGTATTCGACTATTATAGTTGGCCATAGTCTACAATTGAAAGGACCATTGCTTTAATATAGGGGGTGCAAAATGCAATAAAATAAAATTGGATCTTAACTAATAAGCCAAAAGTGATTATAAGAAAAGTGATAACAATAGTGTAGCAGTAGATGCAAAAGTGATTTTGCTGAATGAAATGATTCGCAGTAAAAGTTATTTCAACAATACTTATATATCTTAATCGCTTCACTAATCCCAAACATACTTAGCTTGTACACGCATATATCAAAATATTATTTTTTTAATTTTTATTTTTGTAATAAAAAAAGCTGGTTGTAAATAATAAATAATGCAAAGATTTTTCTTGAAATTGTTTTTTTTTTTTCTTTTTTAAATAAAATCACAAATAAAGCAAGATTTATGAATACATGCAAAAAAGCAAGAAAGCAGCACTTAACCCACCAAACGAAGAAAAAAGGAAAGCCCCATGTTTTAATTTTAAAAAAGTGTGAAAAGAAAAAAAAGATAAAGTGGACGTGGACGAATGATTTAATTTAATAAATAAAAATGCAATATTAATGGTGGCAACTGGCAAAACCAGAGAGTAGAAAAGAAGTAAAAGAAAAGAAGAAAAAAAAGGTAGTTTATTTATTTTTTGATTTAATTAAATTGGACTAATTAATTTACCGATGTAATCAGTGAGTACACGGCCGTCGGAAAATCGGCCGGCGGGCTTCCCGGGAAAAGTGGTTCCGTACGGTTCCTTCCACGAGTTTGCTAAAGATTTTCTGACATTTCCTGTGTCTGCATACGAGTCCCCAAATACAAACAGCTTTGCTGGTCGGAAACCGTTATCATCTGTCTCCTCCTTCTCCCGGCGGTGGTGGTGGTGGGGTGAATCTTGGGCCTCCACGATTAATCCTGCAATGTTTTTTTAAGACGATATACTTCTTGTTTAAATTAAGTTCCGTATTTTGTTAATTAAAACATTAAATATATTATCGATTAAGAGAGAGAGAGTCTAGAGAGAGAGAGAGTACCTGATGAGATGAGAAAGATGCAGCAAAAGAAGAAGATAGAAAGATTGGAGGATTCCATTAGAGAGAATTAATACTGCTAGCTACTACTATATTCAGTGGTGATGTTATTTATTTGTGGAGAGCAAATAATACTGTATCTATATATAATATACTTTGGGTAAGGAATGGTTTAAAATAATATTTTTTTATAAGTATCTTTCAAATGTATGAACAGAGTGATGAAAAAGGGATGAACAACAACTTGTCGTCAATATTAATTAGTTTTCTCACTAGACGGCTCCACGGTTTGGAATTTTATATATATCGATCTACTTTATGTTTTTTTTCTTTCTTTTAATTAACATTTTTAAAATAATTTTTTTTAGGAAATAAACATGAATTAGTAATTATAATGATGTCGTCAAAAAATCCAAGGTAGATTTTCTACATTATCGATTGATTAACTCATTGGATATATTGCTATTCGCGCAACAATTAGACACGGCCATGGCCGGTTCGTGCCGGTTCGCGGTTCACTTTTTACGGAATCGGAACTGGCCCGTACTACGCACGGTTCGAGGTGCATCACGTCTCCGTTTCCACAACCCGAGCTATGTTTTCCTAAAATCAAACGAGAAATCCTCTCTCGAGTTCATTCCCATTTATAATCTATTCAACTGTTGGCCAAACAATCGAAAGCATTTAATACAAGAAAACATAAACAGAATCAAAGAACGACAAATGGATCACAGATTTGGAAATCAAAATCAATATATACAAGGTTTCATTTCCCTAAAAGAAAATGCTCAGTTCATTACAAACATAGCATCAAAATGAAGAACACGGGAAATCATAAACTAAACGTAAAGAAAAGCTTATGAAAAACCCGAGTCGAAACCCTCATCGAAACTTCCCGCGAAGAACTGGCGAAAACCAAAGAGAAAACCGAAGAAAATGTCGAGATACTGTCGAGATCTTCAAAAATGAATAACAGACCTTCTATTTATAGCAGGAAATCAAAGAAAAATATCTTGCCTCGAATTCTGTACCCAGATCGCGATCTGGGCTTCTTGGATCGCGATATGGCAGCCTTGGAAACTGCGCACCGCCTTTCCAGATCGCGATACGGGAATGGTGGATCGCGATCTGGTTCTTGATCAAAAAATGTACTGTGAGACCACCCAGATCGCGATCCAGGAAGTCTGGATCGCCATCTGGGTCCTGATCAAGAAAACCTTTTGTAAGACCCCCCAGATCGCGATACAGAAAGGCTGGATCGCGATCTGGGCTTCTGCGCCATCTTCAAACACTGTTTTGACCATTTTTACCCCGAATTTGACAATTTTGCATTTCACAAAAGTTGTAGATATTGAAGTTAGCTTTCTAAGGCCACTTTAATCAGCTCAATCGGAGGTCGTATGCAAAAGTTATGCTTGAAATACGAAACGGTGCCACACCCGCGATAATGCACTTTTGCACGTGTTTGGTTTGATTTTCGGCTTCGCTTCCAAAATCGTTTCGAATCGGCAAAAATAGCTTCTCTTTACTTAAAATATAAATAAAACAAGAAACGCATAATATATACAAATAAAGCCGAAACTCGGACGAACGAAAACCAAAACTTGAAGATTTGATAAGCAAAAATCGTGCAAAACGAACACTTATCGGGGGGGGGGATTCAAAAAATAGCAAATAACGGCCGGTTCACCGGCCGTTATTTGCTTTTTTTGGAATTTTCTTGATTTTTTTTTTTTTTTAAAATCCGGGTGAACCGTCGAGCTGGGCCGGCAGTTCACGGTTCACCAATTCATAGAACCGGGCCCGTTCCGGAGACGACGGGCCGGTTCACGGGTTCCGGGCCCAAAACCGGCCCATGGCCGTGTCTAGCCACAATGATGTGGTGAGGAAATAAATATACATGATCCACGTACTTTAAGTGTGAACTATTATGCCCTTGTGTACTACAAAATGCGATAGCTGTTAAGTCATCTTAAAGAATCCGTCTTTTTTTCTAAAGTTGATCGAACATTGTACTAGATATTGGACAAGTTTGAACGAAAATACACATCCGGTTGTGTATAAAAAGGGTGTCTATTTCTTTTTCTCTTGTACTCAATTTACTCCCAATTTTTTTTCTTCACGTTTCTTCCCTAATTTCTTTTCACAACTTACAAATTTCACCCAAATTTTCTAAAAAAAAAAATTATATTATGATAATTATTTATAATTTCCTTTTAAATTTATGAAAATTTGCAATTTTGTTCCCAACCTAAAAATATCACCCAAAATTTATGAATTTCATTTATTCTGGATAATATTTTTAAATTCTTTTTCAATTTTTATAATTTCATTTTCAGCCCAAAAATTCTCAATTCAAAATGCTTCCCGTGGTTCTAATTCTCAAAATTCATGCATTCCATGTTACGTCCAAACACTACATGCCATATTTTTCTAGAACCACTTGTCGATGCAACTTGATTATTTACGTAATAAAGTAAAAAAATATCGGGGGTCACTTTGTCGCAATTTGCAGTACATGGACACATATAGGACATTGATGATAATACAAGGGTACAATTTGTATTTAACCCAATTATAAATAGGCAAAACGTATTTTTGTAAAAATAGTAGGAGAAAAAGAATCTGAAGTTTTGTGATTATACTTGCGTTGACCTGTTGGTGTGAAAATCTGCCAGTCTTTGTTTTGTTTTTTCGCCCCAATTAATTGATTAGAGAAAATATCCTAATTGAGTATGCTACATTAAATATACACCGACATGAGTAACCTTACATTTGACCGGAATGTCACATTATGAAATTCCATTAATAGATACATCTTTAATTGTTTTTTTAGTTTTATTTAGAAGTTCATTAATTGATAAATATATTCACATAAATACTTTTAATATATTTTTTTCAGAAAATTATCCTTAACCCCTCTTAACAACCCAGATCAAAAAATTAAATTTTAAAATCAATTTTAATTCCTTCCGGCGTTGTTGTATTGATCGACAATGTTACTGTGTTGATGGGTCAACACAACTGATATTTAAAAGAAAAAATTGTTATTTTTTCCCTTCTATTTGTTTGTTACCACCGCTATTACAAGCGTAGTAACTCTGTTATATTAGTTTAGTAGAAACTATTATACTGTTGACGGGTCAACATTGCCAAAAAAAAAAGAAAATTAATGTTGTTTTGTTAACATTTGGAACATGAATATTTCATCAGCAGAACCACTAATCAATTGAGCACAAAATAGAAACACACATTCTATTAAAACTGAAATAACTGTCCAAGGCTCGACTTCAAAATCGTGTAGACAGCATGCCATCCAGCCTCGGTTGGATGCGACGAGTCCCAAAAGAACGCAGTTTTCGGATCGCTGCAAACAGTGTACATTTTTACACCTTTTTCGTCCACACTTCCGCATGAGTATTTTTCGCTTACGCCCATGCAACATGGCTTCAGTGGAGTCTCAAACTTCAAATTTCCTATTTTATATCGATCAATACATTTCCACCAAGTAAGAAATGTTGGTTCATTTTTTTTCTAAATATAATTATAATCGAATATAAAGCACACGGAATTTATTTTTTTACCTTGAGAATCGCCTTTTTGTTCGATCACAGTAGTGAAAGAGTTGTAGAGATCAAGAATGAAAAACGTGGAACTATTCGTATCGTTGTTCAATTTGGCGACCGATTGCTGCAAGAGAAGGTTGTGATAGTTGACAGCTACGTTCTGAGTGGCATTGCATTGCTGGAATGAAGATGACAGCGTGATTCGAGGGAGGCATCCCAATGGCTCCAAAGCTGTCACTATTACTTTCGCCGCTCCCATTTTTTGAAGTCGTTTTAAGTTCAACGATAGTTGATTGATCACGATAGGGATGAAAGTTTGCAGTCCCTGAGAATATATACGTACAATCGCAAGAAACATAAAAAAATTATATTCAACGTACGTGCATAATTTAGGGATTAATTAGTAGTGATTAATTATATTATTATAGTTTGAAGTTATAATTAAGTATATATATATATATATATATATATATATATATATATATATGTATATACCTGGTTAGTGCCACCATTGGCTAGAAAAGCAGCGTAATCATTCCCGGCAAGAGAAACGAGAACGACGGAGGAATGCAAATCCAAAGCGGTGCAAACGGAGTTGTTTGTTAGTTTCTCTAAGAAGTCGATTTGAGTGGTCATGTTTGGCAACACGTTTCCCAATGTGTCGAACACTCCGCTCCCTCCGTATGCGAAGTTCGTCCCGTATTGCAGCTTTGCTAATTTCCCGCCAAATTTCGTCCATATGTAGGCTATTGGAGACTTGAGTCCCAAGAAATTGGCTGTGTAATACATGTCATTAATTATTATGTTATAGCATCACGAATCATGCATGATTGATAGAGACGTACGACACTTTTTGTCGACTAGTTTTGCGCAACTTGCACGCGTACGTCAACTATATATGTTGACGTACGTGTGATATATTTTTGAATTGTACGTGCGTTGTCATCGATATTAATTTTGGTATCGTTTGTATATATGTTCGGTATAATATATTCGACAATTAGCTACCCCTAATGTATAATCAAAAGGACCACTCTGAGTTTGCTTTATGTACATGGGTGCCAAATGCAATAAAATTAAACAAGGAATTAAATAATTGCATGAAAGATAGATTATATATAAGAGTACATATAGTGGATGCAAAGTGATATTACTGAATGAGATGATTCGCATGAAAAGTTGTTTATATATATATATATATATATATATATATATATATATAACCCTATATATATATATATAGGGTTATTAATTACTATATGTTAATTTCTTAATGCAAGATTTAACATTACATGCAAAAAAGCAAGGAAGCAGCACTTAGCCCACCAAACGAAGAAAAAGGGAAGCCCCATGTTTTAAAGTTGAAACCCAAAAAGCTTATAATAAAGTGGAGAAAGTAAAAAAGATAAAGTGGACGAATGATGAGATCAAGATGCCATGTTTTTTTTTATTAAATTAATTAATTGGACTTTACCAATGTAATCAGTGAGGACACGGCCATCGGAAAATCGGCCGGCGGGCTTTCCCGGGAAAGTGGTTCCGTACGGTTCCTTCCACGAGTTTCCTAATGCTTTTCTTACGTTTCCTGTGTCTGCGTACGAGTCTCCAAACACAAACATCTTTCTTGGTCGGAAACCGTTATTGCCTGTCTCCTCCCGGCGGTGGTGGGCTGAATCTTGTGCAGCTCCTACGATCATAAAGCCTGCAAGAAGACTTCTTGTGTGGAGAGAGAGAGAGAGAGAGAGAGAGAGAGAGAGAGAGAGAGAGAGAGAGAGAGAGAGAGAGAGAGTACCTGAGATGAGGAAAATGCAACTGAAGAAGATAAGGAAATTGGAGGATTCCATTAGAGGGAATATAATGCTACTACAATTACTATAAGTGGTGATGTTATATGACGAGAGGAAAGAATACTGTATATATATACTTTGGGTTGGAATAGGGACTTGTTATTTTAAATAATGACTATTTAAAAAACATACATCAATAATTAAATATGGCGGTTAGAACAAATACCGATTTTTTCTCATTCAATATCATAGACTTGAATACAATGTTTTAGCAAATTTTTAACAATGTTTTCTTAGGTCAGTACCATAAATTAAAAAAATATTAGCAAAGTACTAAAATACCCCTCATCATATATTTCAATTATTCAAATTTCAGATCACATTTTTTTTACAAAATTCAATACCAAGAAAATAAAATTTATTCATGTCTATTTTGAGCTTGGAAGTCAATTTTCAAGTTTTGTTTTTTCAAATCCGTCCCCATTTTTCGACACATACAGTTCGATTTTTTGTGTTTTTTCGACATATCAGGACTCAAACTCCGAAAAACCTAATAACCTTCAAGAATCTATCCTTCGTTTTCCATACATTACGGAGTCGAAAAATAGTATTTCGAACATAGTTCCCAGGGTTTGAAGATTAAACGTACACTTGAATCTGGTATAGCCGTTGTTTAAACTAAAAGCTAATAAACATTACCTTTATATATTAATAATTAATAATGAATAACCAAAACATATTTTACTAAAATCAAAATAATTGTGCAAGACTCGACTTCACAATCGTGTAGACCGCTTTCCATCCAGCCTGAGTTGGATGCGACGAGTCCCAAAAGAATGCTGATTTCGGATTGCTACAAAGTTTGTACAGTTTTGTACCATTTTCGTCCGCACTTCCGCATGAGAACTCGTTGCTTATGCCCATGCAACATGGCTTCAATGGCGTCTCAAACTTCAACTTCCCTATTTTATATCATAATACGAGCAATTATAACATTTATAAACGAGATTTTAATTGCAAAAAAAAACCCAATGTACTATTGTTTTACAAATGAGACATGTCGAATGGAACTCGGAAAAAATATTACCTTTATGATTGTTTTTACGTTGGAGCACTGTAGTGAAAGATTTGTAGAGATCAAGAATGAAAAAAGTGGGGTTATTCGTTTCGTTGTTCAGTTTGGCTACCGTTTGCCGTAAGAGAAGGTTGTGAAAGTTGACATCTAAGTTCTGAGTGGCATTGCATTTCTTGAACGAAGACGACTCTGTCGTTCGAGGGAGGCACCCTAATGGCTCCAAAGCTGTCACGATTACTTTCGTTGCTCCCATTTTTTGAATTCGTTTTAGGTTCGTCGATAGTTGATTGATCACAAGAGGAATGAAACTTCGCAGGCCCTGAGAATTTATACAACAAATAATATTTTTAAGCAAAAAAGAGATGTAGAGTATGATAGACTTAATTCATGAATTAATTATTAGGGTTTTATTGATATAACTCACTTTTCATGGGGTTACCTACTAAAAAAAGGCATTATATTGATCTGAGTAGTGTTTTAACAATTCGATATACAGAGCTCTATAAATTAATACAGTCGATACCAACCAAATGCAAATCATTTAGAAATAATTAACAAATTTAATTAGCAAAATATATGATGTCTCTGATTTGGGACTGAGAGAAAATTTTATTTAAACGAGGTTACTTATTTGTCGAGATTCTACTGCAACACAACTAATTAAACCCAAATAAATCTCCACAATGAAAATCCGATCAGTTCTTATTTTGATCTATTCCAGAAGAATGCGTAATCAAGGAGACGAATCTGAGTCGAGCTCATTGTTTCCAAGCCTTATTTATTTATCTGAAAAATTAATTCTTGTACTAAATTGCAAAGCTTGACTGTTTTTAAATTTAATTGATAATTTTGCTATTAAAAAATGCCATAACAAGAGAGGGTCTCGTTTCTCTCGAGAACTAGGACCGGCCCTAGGTACTGAGTTAAATGTAATTAGTAAACCTAATTAATTAGTACTGAGTTATATAATTGAACCTTAAAGTGTACCTGGTTAGTGCCACCATTGGCAAGAAAAGCACCATAATCATTCCCAGCAAGAGCAACAAGAACGACGGAGGAGTGCAAATCCAAAGTCGTGTAAACCGAGTCGTTTATTAGTTTCTCGAAGTAGTCGATTTGAGTTGTCATATTAGGCAAAAAATCGCCCAGAGTGTCAAAAACCCCGCTCCCTCCGAAGGCGAAGTTCATACCGTGTCTCAATTTCTTAACTCCCAATTTCATCTGTGCGTACGCTATTGGAGACTTGATTCGCAAGAACTTGGCTACATGCATCTCATTAATATAATTAGTATCAAAAGTTTGAACAAAATAATGCAGTTTAATTATCAAGAACTTGGATAAAACAAATTTTTTTTGAATAAATAGAGATATAACAGATCGAGTTAACAAGTAGTAAAATTTGAATTATTTTTTTTTCTTTTGTAATAAATAGAGTCATTCATATTAAATTGCTCAATTCAGTAAATATTATGCTCCAGTTACATATTAGAATCCATTTCAAAATACAAATTACTCTATTATATATATATATATATATATATATATATATATATATATATATATATATATATCTATTTGTATGTATCTTTTTAATTTTTTAGCAACCCTTGTTTGTTCATTAAAAAACACTTTGTAATTTCTTTGTAATTTCGATGTAGATGTAACTTTTTATTTTCTATATATAATATTAATTAAAAAAACAATAAAATTAGTATATCAAATCTTATAAATTAATACAATTGAGTCTGACAAAATTAGAATATTTTTAATTAATATATTACGACATATGATATTAAAAAATTAACATTTTAAAATAAATTGCAAAGTGTTATAATGTGCATATAATTTATCAAAACAAAACCGTACATATAAGTTTTATTTAAATAAAATGGAAAAAAAAAAGACACTAATAAAAAGAAAAAGAAAAAAAATAATAATTGCCAATATAAACTCGTTACTGTTAACTAGAGTATTTTGAAATAGAAGCATATTCATTGTTGTAATTAAACTAGAGCAGTTAAATGGGTTGCAATTAATAAAGTATGTACACGTGTTCTTAT